TGTGTGTGTGTGTGCGTGTGTGTGTGCGTGTGCGTGTGTGTGCGTGTGTATGTGTGTGTATGCTTCTGAACTTTTGCCTGAGGTTTTCACCTTAGCAATTTTTTTGAATAAATGACGCTCGCGCTGAGGTAGACGGTGCAGTCATGCGTTTTGCGCAGTTCCATCCAGCGAACAATTGCCTGCTAAGGATTTTCACTGCTTTACACTGCTATATGTGCAAAAATAGTCAAGATTTTGTCAGGTTCCTAAGCTGCGAAATTTCACACTAAATTTCATGTAGGGGCACGTGAAACTTAGGCGACCGTGAAAGCTGAAAATTAAGCTTTGAGCCGTATGAGCGAGGAAGATCCTTCTAAAATTTCAGTTTCCTAGTTTTCTGGTTTCTAAATTAGTGAGTTTTGCGCTAAAACCTTCGCGGCCGTACATGAGACCTTGTCATACTTGGGAGAAAAATTTGAGTTTGATAGGCAGAAAACATCCTCCTGAAATCTCAACCTCCTAGCTCTTCTGGTTTTCGAGATAATAATTCTCCCGCTAAAACTTTCACGGGGCTGTACGTGGTACTCAGCGGCACATAATGACTGGTTTCAGATCTGCAGGGTCACATATGGGCGAAAGTTTCAGCCTCCTAAATTTTGTGGTTCCCGGGGTGATTTTCCCACGGGAACTCCAGCTGGTATCCAGGGCACGTGAAGGCCGAATGTAAATCTTGCGGCCTGCATGTAGGTGGAGAACATAGAGACACCTGAAAGTTCAGGTAGGAAATTTTCCAGCCGAGGAACCAGACAAGACAGAAAACTGAAATTTGAAATTTCCCTGAAGAACAGTGTTTGCACCTTTGCTATGTTCTGTATGCATCCTTAATATCATTTGACGTTCTATCGATTAATATCATTTGACGTTCTATTGACTTATGAAGTCATCCCTCAATGGTGACCCCCAGTTGTAGAAGTGCATACTGGAAAAGTCCGCCTCTTTCTTACCTCCGGCTAGAAGTGCATACTGAAAGTGCATGAAAGTTGTAGAAGTGCATACTGAAAAAGTCCGCCTCTTATCGTTAATCATTGGAGATCCTCAGCGGCCTCACACCCTTCGACTGCCGATCTGCAGTATAAATAGGGATGAAAGGCATGGAAGATTTTCATTGCATTGTTTGTCCAAATAGAGAAAGGACT